TTTGAATATGATAATACATTTTACATTTCCAAAAAACCAAGGAAATTCTTGATCAGAGGAATTACTACGAACTGCTGAAGATAAACGTCTACCATGAATTGTTTTAAGTACGAATTGTCATATAGGGCTCAGATTTCTTATGTTTTTTAAAAAATTCGTGAGCAAATAGGGTAATTGAAGGGAATATGGCCATGCTAAACTTTTTCGTTTTCTTTCGTCATATTAAAAAGTTTTTAAAGCAAACGCAAAAAGTCCACCCACCACAGAACTCATTTAGCTACACTGAAAATGTTATAACCCTTGTATTTTGTCATGAGAGCCTCAGAAGAAACATTTTTAATGATTTTCTTTTCACAGTTTTTAACTACACAATTCAGATAATATGGCCAAAGAAATGTTTCTTTTGCAAAATATGTAAATTCAAATACAGCCCAAATGAAAAGTAGACATAAAGTTATTAAGGTTTATTTTACGTTTATAACCTGAAAGAAGCAAAAATAAAATTATTATTTTTAATTTAAAATGAAGTGACTAAACTTTGTTATAGAAATAAGAAACTTAAATTCGACGATCAAAATCCGTTCAGGCTTATCCATGATATGTAATTGCATCAGTAATTCATTTTGTTTATCAAATTAATCTTTGAGGATGAATCGGTTTGTTTTTTGGCATGGTTTGTCACATAATCTGCACTTGATATATTTCCTTTGTGTCTGCCAAAATGAGATTAACAAAGAATGACATAAAATGCAGTTACAGTATACAATTATATACAATAGTACACACATATCTATTTTGATTCAGTTCTAAGCAAAGTAATACTATTTCTGTTTATGAAGATTGATTACACTTTTGCTTATATTCTGCAAGATAAATGGGTGTCGTTTGCTCTCTCTTCTTGACACTTAAGGCGTCAGACAACACGCAGTACCGCAAAGCTGGCGGCTGTCTCGCAAAACACGAGATGACCGATGTTTGTGACCAAATAGCGCTGATTATGTAGATTACGTGTTTCGGCCAAATGCGGCCATCTTGAGGTTTTATATGTCTGTGAGGTTATTACACTCTTGTTAAAAACCAAGATTTATTTTCAGTCTTGTTTTTGTCCAAAAACTGTTCTTTCAACTTTGTTAATTTGAAGAAATCGAACTTTTAAAACTTTAGTGACACGGTTAGATGAGACTTGGTGTGATGGTGTTTAATCTGTGTTCAGTCGCGTGTTCATGTTAGGTTTCAATGCACTGCAGTGCCTTCGCGGACACGTCAAACCTAAAGATGCGGTCGGAACTGATAAGAAATTTTCTCATGCAGATAAAGCCATTGCCACAGAAGCTAGCCATCAGCTAAACCTGGTTTAAGTCTCTTCGTCCGTCTTGATAAGATAGGACATTCTTCTTGATGGTCTGTTGACATCTTATGTATGTTTTCTCTCTCCTAAGTTGACTGTATCAACATTTCAGGCCAAAATTTTCTGTTCGTATACTGCGAGTATATCTCATTTTCCCTGACATGAATATTAATTTTAAACAAAAGATGACGGCACACCTGGCCGTCCCTTAAAAAGAATGTTGAGTCTAGTTTTCTCCGTCTATTACGATTTATTTGATGCAGTGGAGTTGGACAGAAGTCAGTATAGAGCCTATATTTACGTTCGTTATTTTGCGTATGTCAGATTTGAATATGGTGCACGTTCTAGTAGAATTATTCAAGAGTTTTGACAGGATAATCTGCACCTTAATATATAACAATTCCCTACTGCACTTAATATATTGTTAATTGTGTGTCTTGATTGATTTGGGTTCGTTGTGGTACTTCATAGACAGAAACCTTGTTTTATTTAACCTGAGCGTAAATTCATGTACAAATGAAATTGGTGATCTTTCAGTACCTAAGAAGTGTCCCATGTGTTTCGTTCTGATCAGCTCGTGCAGATGTGTGGCTTCCGGCTGTGTACATTCCCTGGTAAATAATAGCCATCTTGAGCCATGGTAATAGTCTAATTGGTTAAGTTCGTCTTAAAGGGTTTAGGGCTGGTCTTGCATAGGCCTACTTTAAAGGGAAAGGGAAAAGACTTGAAGAATTTTTTTGCAAAACAATTTAAGAAACACGTTAAAGCAGTAACTTCAAAAGTGTACTGAAAGTAATACAGTTGCTAGTTGCTTCACTGTTGACTGAAAAATTTGGACGTAAATAAAAGCGACGTGTCTTACTAGTTTTAAATGTTGCGTTTCACGTAAATAAGATATTAGGCCTACACTTCATTCAGTTGTTTGGTATTTTAATTTTATTCACTTAAATTTAAATAAAAGAGTAGATTAACTATAATATTCGTGTTTTAATGTATGACAGTTCAGCTGCTCAAGAAATCCCTATCTTTTTTTCCTTTTTTTTTGGTCAGAAAATCTCACCATTCGAATCAGATCCATCATCTATACAATTTTATTATTGTTTTCCCATCTTCCAGTTGGCTTTTATCCTTGAGATTTTCCTACTAACATCTTGTTCTTATTTCTTTCATCAATAGCCCATCTCATCCGCCTACTCAAAAAAATTTGTTCTTTATTTTTCTTTCACCTGTCATGAAAATTAGGTTTACCACGTAAGGTATAGTGTTAACAGACAAGTTCCATAAAAATTTTCACAAGTGTCTTCTCGTATCGAAACGTATTTGTAACGCATTAGATTCTTCTCAAAACATTTACGTCGGTGTCAGCAGACGTCTTGAAACGTCACCATAATTTTTCACGTCGGATAAAAATGATTTATCAGTTATTGTTCAATTTGTCTGTTCTCAAACAGAATTTTCAGTTGTAGGCCTTGTGTTGAGGGTCATTATTAAGATTTACCGATAAACTACAATTATGGCTGAAACTGACTTGGAGGCCTATAGGCCTAATGTATATTTCATGTAAGCGTGTATCCTTAAAAAGAAAAAGTAATTGATCCGGAAGTGTTACAAGAAATGTAGTTATCGGATAAATATCTTGATTGTTAAGACAGATAAGAAATTGAAGTCTGTAATAATGTTCACTTCAAGTCATCGTCTTTTGACCGGTAACTGAAATAAACAATTTTTATAGAATAATTTAGACTGTTCTTAAAACAAGTTACATTTTCAATTTACGTCAATACGAGTAAACAGGTTGAATAAATACAGCCTATTACGTTTTGTATGCATAGGAGTGGTATAAGATCAAAATAGACGTACTATTGTGCAAGAAGTACACATTGTCATGTTAACTATCATTCTAAATTACTTCTTATTTTCAGTAATATGCTTCTTGAAATGTCTGACAATCTGAATACTTATAGACATTTGTCTCCAGGTGTCCTGATTTGAGCTCCTTGTTTTTAGGGTTTTGGATGTACGTCATCGTGTTTGGTGTCCCTCGAAATATTGTTACTTAAACTAACGGAATTTATTTTTTAAACTGTCATCTGCAGATTCCTTTCGTGTGTCCTTACTTTTATCCATACTTAATTCCATGTAGCCAGTCACTTCTTAGACAAAATTTCGATTGTTAGTCGGAGTCGCTACTGAGAAATAAGTTATAAGGCTATTTAATTAATAAGTTCATTATGTGTAAATGATCTGTCTTCAAAATTTGTTAAACTGATCAAGATATTCTCTCTTGTCATGGAACTCTAATTTCATCACCGTTGTCACAAAAGCTTCCCACTGGACACTATTATGACCCAGCTCAATTAATTTCTCCTTTCATCTTTTCGTAAGATATGTAAGATTACATGAAGTCTTCCCTTAAATGTATACAACCCAGATTTCGTGTAAATTTTTAAACAAAGCCTAAGGAGGTTATTAAACATTCTTATTACGAGCCGCCTTCAGAACTACTAAATTTTTCGTAAATTGCTAAAAGTACTATCACGTATAGGTACACTATACTGCTAGTAGGCTAGTCAAATCAAAATTGATGTTTAGACTGGAAAAAAGATTGTCTGAATGCTAATCAGTGCTCTTTCTATGATCTAACTCCAATTAAATACTTTTAACTGAAGCATCAATACGAACAAACAAGTATTCCTCTTAGGCTGTGTTTCAAAGACGGGAATACAAAGGGAAATTGAGTTATAATTTACTAAAACTTAGGCTTGTGAAAAATTTGATGGAACTTGTCTGTTGAAACTACACTATAATTAAAAATTAAATTAGAGTTACATTAATGTGTTGTAGATATAAATTTAAATACAGACCCGAGTTATCAAATGGAAATTTAATTTAATTTCACAGGAGAACTGGGAGAAATTTTAGCATAGCAAATTCATGTTTAAAATATTTAGGCTTTTAATTAGATAAAAGGATGCAAATAAGACGGTCAGTTACTTATTATTTTTATTCAAGCGTCTCGCGTCACTATCATGCAATGTGCAATCTAAAGCACGTAAAAGGATAGTCTACTTTTTTAACCAACAAAAGAAGAAGTCTAGACAAATTTTAGCAAGTATTTTTTGTTTTCTACAGTTCAAATATTCTTCTTCTTCTTTAAATCACAACTAAACTTCTTGATAATATTAATCACGATAATAGTGACTCAATTAAAGTCCTATAACATTTATAAAAGTAGATATCCCATGCTAAACTGTGCTGATTTAACTTTGCACGGGGTGATTATAACTTAAAACTTCGTATCCAGTACATATTAACATTATTAATAGATTCTCTACGTATTTCTTCAAATTAAGTGTTTGTGGTATTCTGGTAATTTATCCAAAGATGCACTTAGAATTGGAGGCTGACGTACTTAAACGTATTTAAATTCAATGGCATGTTTAAGACAGGGTAAGAGAGCTGATAAAAATTAAAAGGAGACTTAAGTAATTAAAAGCCAAATAAGTAAAATTAAATTGGATTGAATTTTATTGTCAAGTGAAATTTTTCGAAAAGTGTAGCTTTTAAAACAGAGCTGCAATCCATCGAAAAGTGGCATTACAGAAACTGTAAAAAAATATTCTTTGCTACTTTATAATCAACTACAAGGGAATTGTTTGTTCATGTGTTGAATCTCATTTTGGACACACTTTATTTAGTATAAGACTACAAGTTCTCAATATAACAAACGAAATATATTTGAAACATTACCTTAACAAACTTTGTTTTAAAACCATAGACCTATATTACAGTGTATTTTTAAATTAACTAATTGGTTGTTTGTTGAGCATGTATTCTTCAACAGTCATCTTTGTAATGTGAGTTCCATCAATAAAGTAACTTCCAGTAAACCACACAGTTTATAGTTTCATGTGACTCTCACAAAACTATGGCAGAAAGATTTATCATTCTTGGAAGTCATAACTGTGACTGACATCTTCATAATTTTCATTCGTGATACTTGAGAAAAATAACGGAAAAAATAAATCTTTTAAAAAGGAAGCCTGTGGTGAGATGTAGAAAGGAGCAGGAACCCGTAATCCTTTGAATCACGTTGTACAACTGGTAGGCCTAAAAACAAGACGTCACAGAACAGCTGTAGTCACTGTGCATGTAGGCCTAACATATGTGTGAACAGTTTTGAACCCAGTACTTCTCAGATAGAAGGTATTTATGGATTTATATTTGCATTAAGATGGGAAACTGTTATTTTTATTTATATTATCAATATTTCTAAATATACCGATGCATAAACAAATTAAGAATGATGAAAACTACGAAAACGTAGTCATACAACCAGAGTAATAGACTGTAATCGCAAATGGTTTTTGTAGTTGGCCTAAATAAGCTCTCCTCTAGCTTGAATTTTAAGTCTTACTACTATTGCAAATATGCTTTCCACAGGATACACAGTCCTGTACTTTGTAGGCCTAAAATAGATAGTCAGCAACGTATCATTAAGGTTATGTTCATCATTTTAAGACAGATGGCGAAGAGAAAATTAACGCGGAATGTCTGACAAAACTACGATGCATGATCGAATTTATTTAACTCATTGTATTTAGGCCTAAGCTGAGAATAGAGAAAACTGGCGAGCTCTTTTTGGTCAGAGCAATGGACCTGTCGTCAGACAGAACACTGAAGAATAATATAGGCCTACCTCTCGTACTACACTCGTCTTAACAATTTTTACGGGATGAAGCATAGCTCGAGCTTCCGAGCTACAGGCGTATGGTTTATAGGCCTAATTGTTTCCAACCACTTGTTGTATTCCTAGGCCTTCGTAGCAACTAGTCAACCATCTATCATCAACTGCTTCGCTACAATAATCACAAAATACGATTTCTAGTTCGAATTTTTATTGTTATTAGGTCTACTGGATTTGTTTTCAGGATTTCTGATCGTACTTTCTTCCAAAAATGATCACCACACAACACAAGACCAAATGGTGATTACGATAAAAGGAAAAAGTTTGTACCCAGGACAATGTTACATAAACAAGAAAATAAGCCTCGGATACGCCCTTTAAAAATTGGACAAATTTCCTAACACGTTTTGCCACGACCACATTCCTGTTTTGTCATAACCCACCTCACACTACTGGTGATGTTTAAAACAGATTTGATTTGCAACATATTTTCGTCTCAAGAATTCAACGTCTTATTGAAAATAAGGGCATGATGACTGTAGACCGTCACCTTATAAACATTCAAGAATTTTCCTTCGTCAGATCGTGCCGTGGAATGAGAGTAAACAGTGTGCTAGATTCTGCCTGCTGAGAAACTAGGTATGTAGAGCTTACCAGGGCTGCGAAGGTCATTTCATCAAGACTGTATTGTTTCGCATATAAGGTTTATCTTGGAACAAGATGGACGTTAGCAGGATGCTTCCAGACACTTTAATTAATTGTGTGTATCTTGTCACATATATCCGAATAAGCTTAATGATTAAATTTGACTGTTATTTAATACAAACAGATCTTCTCAGAGACGGCCATTACGATTGAATCTTCGAACTGACCAATGAGATTAGATGCACAAGTTTGAATTACAGAATTGGGCGTGCACACTCAAGGTGGTGCCATGCTTAGCCGCGCCAATGAGAGATGGTGGTCTTCCACAGCTACGCCCATTGAATCAGCAGCCAAACAGCACATCCCTGCCATCTTTCATCAAGTAGACAAAACATCAATAGAGATATAATGCTGTGATGTCATTTTTGTGTAGTTTCTTTTTATGTGTTTAATTCAAACCACAAACGTTTATTTAAATGAACATTGCCTAGCATTGTTAAACGCTAGGAACTATTTTTTACGACGAATCAACATGACTGAAGGCTTTCCAAAGCAAAGATTTGGTGGTCTTCTGTAGCTATTTTCGAATGTTTCATTTTTGAAATGTTTTGTTGTGCAATTGCCTCGACTTCATTTCGACCGTGACCAAGAACCAAATCCCTTTTCAGGTATTTGCTCGCTGTGATTATAAAGCATGGTCTTTTGCTGTGATTTTAGTTGGTCATGGATGAGACTGGGAATGGACGTAGCGTAAAAACGTCGAAGATCTGCAGTCCTTTTAGGCATAGATGGGAGAATAGTATTAAAATGATTCTTAAAGAAATATAATGTGAGAGGATGAACTGGATTCATCTGAATCAAGACAGGATCCAATGACACGATAATAAACTTTTGGTTCCATAAAATACGAGGAATTTTGCAATAGGCCTATATGCCAAACGCGAAACAGCTGTGCGTATCTGTTAAATTTAATGAGCAACTTTTTGATGAAAAATATTGAGGATTCTTCTATATCTTTAATGGCAGAAAATAGGTCTACAGTAAGATTGACCCAACTAAACAACTTTACATTTAGTCTTGAATGCGTTCTACAGTTATTTCGACTTGAATTTTATTAAATCCTTGCACGAAATTTTATAGTCTGAAATAATGGACAAATCTGTATTCTATATTTTGTGTGTCTTCTTCATGGTACGTACTGTTTTTGATAAGAAAATATTCCACAGCATATTTGCCTGCTTGTATGTAACACGCGGTGCATTTATTTCGTACGTGTTGCATAACCCACATATTGTGTCTCGTAGCCTGTCGTCATTAGTTTTACTCTGGTCAGCACGCAGTTTCAGAATTTATATATAAATTTTAGTGAAAGTGGACATTTTACTCAAAAATAAATGTGACCGTTTCCTGTCGATAATGCTTAGTGACGTACAGGAAAAGTTTCACGAATTTTTAATGAAAAGAAATTATTTTTAACCTGTGGGTCGCAACCCTAAACAGGGTCTCCAAGGATTTCGATAAAATCTGAATAGGCATATTATTTGTTGAGACTATCAGACCAGACAGTGGTCCTTAACTTGAGCCAAGTGAATCAAGATATTCGTTTTAATATTATCTTCTCTTTTTCATTCAGATATCCCCGCTTTAGGCTTAAAACCAACGTTCTGTGCACATTTTCCCGTCTCCGCGCTCCGCATTCTAAGCCCATTTCATTGATCTAACTAGAAATTATGCAGAATAGGCTAGAAATTGTGCGTCTCCTTAAGCACATTTTTCAAGCTTCTTGTCATTTTATCCATCCAAAAGCACCACTTTCTCAAACACCTTCAATTTGTGTTCTACCCTTAATGTGTGAACTCAGGTTTCACACCCATACAATATAAAATGTGAAATTATACATTTTTATAGTCTATATTTTAATGTCGGTGTCCGCAGTGGCCGCGCGGTCACTGGGATCGTGGGTTCGAATCCCACTCAAGCTATGGATGTTTGTCCGCGTTTCTCTGTGTTATGCTGTCCTGTGTACAGGTAGAGGCCTCGCGACGGGCTGATCCCCCGTCCAAGGAGTCCTACCGAATGTCTATAGATCAAGCCAACGAAAGTAGTGGAACTACAGTGCTCAGGAACTTGAAGAACGGGTCGTTTCCAGTATATTTTAATGTCTTTGTTTTTCAGTACCAGACTGGAAGAAAAACGATTCTGGTCTGCATTGCAGCAAATATTTTCCGAATTAGTTTGATAGTGACAACCTTGTGAACGCTGTTCTGATTTGTTACTGCCTTTCCCAGTTAAATCCTTTTTTTAAAATCTGATGCTATTTAGAACATTTATTAGCTACCTTTCTATCGGCTAATGACCTTGGTCTGTTGTTTGGTGACGAGTTTACCTCTAACAAACTGTGTTCTTATTTATTTTATTTACGTATTCGATTAACGTCATAACATCAGAACGGGAACACGAAAAACTTATGTGTCACATGTCATCCCATTCCGTCTTTGTTTCCTAGAATCTTCCTCGTGACACATTCGAAAGAAAGGCTGAAAACCAATGGTGATAAAGCGTATCTTTCAGACGATTCAGAACAGAAAAAGAGGGACACAAATATTAATCTATATGTAATCTAATATACGGTATCTTTGAAATACATTTTAACCAGACTGTCTAAATTCACTGGTACACCAGACTCAATGAGAATATTGTAATTCCATTATAACTGGAATAAAAATTAGCCCTATCTATTGGGCCCAACGGAGTAGGTACCTGAAGACGGAGATAGAGCCCCATCTCCGAAACGTCGTTTTTCTATTTTATTATTTTACTAGACGATGGAAAATATCCAAGGAAATTTTTATTCTAATAACTCACCGTCGTCACGAACTTTTAGATCCATTATAACTCATCATACGCTTTCTTGATGTGTATAAATAGTTTATGTACAGTCCCATTTTACAGCCATTGTTTCTCCACTATTCACGAACATAAAGAATCTAATCAGTAGTTGATCTATTACGTCTAAATGCCCAATTATTCCCGATCATTTCGTGTACGTATAGGGTTGACCTTGAAATCTGAATGTTAGATAACATTTTGTGTGTACTTGATAACTGATAACCCTGGATCATTAATTAAGTAATTTATATCACCTTCCTTACAAATAGTTACATGCAGTAACATTTCCACATGATCGGCATTTCTTCCTTGATCCATATACACTTAATAAGTTCTCGTACTTAACGTAATGTAGAACTTAACGCTTGGATTAATTCTGCCGAAATTTTATCAGTATCTGGTAATTTGTACCTCTTAAAATTTCCAATAGCAGATCCAAGTTCAATTGACCTGGACTCAGATCTATTGGCTCGTCTGTATATTTGAGTCTACCTAACCTTACCTTAAAGATGAAGGCAGAAGTTATTATTTTAAATACTCAAAATAGTGTGTGATTATGAGAGATCACCATTCTTATCCTTTAATAAGTCAGTTTTAGGTTTGTAATCCTCCATAAAATTTATTTATGATTCTGCATAATTTATTTATGTTTCAAGCCAATTAATTTTGTCTTACAGATGTTACATTTGTTTGCTTGCCTAGCTTCACGTCTTACATTATCCATATTATCTTCATTCGTCTGGCTTGGATTCTGCAGCTGCTGCTATTTAGTCTGCTTACTTTTACCAAATCATTTTAAACATTCTTCGTCAAACCATGGTTCATGCTGCTGAAATCATAACAGCTCACGCTCTGTTTTTGGCTGAAATGTTGATATAGTCTGATAATTTCCCCAAGTCCTGTTGATGGTATTTGTGGTCCATCTTTCGTATTTTCTTCTCATAATGTGCCCGGCCCGTCGATGTTTCGCCTTGTCCACATATTCCAGAGCATCCTTGATTTTTCGACATATTTCGAACGTCGCTATTGTGTTCATTTCTTTCTTGAGAGTTAGCCCCACGATTCGTCTTTCGAGTGGGGCCTGGGTGACCTTTAATTGATTATCAAGACTTTTGTTAGGTTCCAAGTCTCTCCAGCATAGCACATTGCGGGCAGAACTGTGGTGTTAAATGTTCCTGCCTTGAGTTGCCCCGTTGAATGCCGCCAAACCAGTGCGGCGTCTTCGTGCGATTTCTGGTCTTAAGTCGTCGGACATATTGAGCAGTCGACCAAGGTATATGTATTCGCCAATATCTTCGATTTCATCTAGAGGCAGACTATTCAGGGAATGGGAAACGGGAAACATTGTGCTTACAGCAGCCGTCAAATAGCTCCATTGACGCATGTCGATTGACCTTTGTCTGTAAAAGACGCTGATGGATTTGTTTTTGAAACCTGTTGTTTTAATACGACCAGAACTTGACATGAGCTGAAATCGAACTTTGATTTTCTGAAATATTTCTCGTTGTACAGATGACAAAATAAACTTTGCCTTCTAATGCGGCCTACAATAAATCTGACATGTTTCAATACAATGAATAGGCTATAGATGCAAACGAAGTAGGAGAAGAATCATTCATGACTTCGTGTAAAGCGTATTTTTTAATACCTTAAAGTTTTCGGCCTGACACTCATTTTAGCCTGTTTTGCATTCTTAAGGAAGAAGTAGATTCTTTTGAGATCGCCATACCGCGTGTGTGTGTTTTCCTTCCAACCTTTAACCAAGTGACCGATTTTCATGAGTTTTGATATGAAAGTTACGTCACTGGAAGCCGCTTGAATATAACTTTTCTTTTTCAATTTCCTACGATAAATTGGGTTTGTCCACTGAATAAGCTACGGGCATGGGCAGTCAAGGTTCGAATCTTGACAGATGCAAGAGATAGTCGTCTTCCCCACAACGTCCAGACCGATTCGGGGATTCACCCAGCCTCCTATATAACTCGTACCGAGGATAAAGTTGGCTGAGCGTGAAGCTAAACCACTTGCCTGTATTTGGTACTGACGTAAGAATAGTGGAGACTTTCCTTCTATTCTCCATACATCTTCAAGTTGTGATGAGTACTGGCTTCAACAATCAATGACAAATTTACCATTTTACAGTAAGTAATAAGAAATTAGGCGAAGAATAAACTTTTGAAGTGGATGCTGCACTGGCACGTTTGAAATGATGTAGACGTTGGCAGAACTGCTAAAAACACGTAACTTTTATTCCTTGTTTATGTAGAATGTAAAACAACACGTCTGGTTGCTAATGTGTTATTTTTTTAATTGGATACATATAACATTCCTTAAAATGTTTTAATTTCTTTTT